TTCCATGAGATATAGATTTTTCTCCCATCATGGCTCACAACCACATAGTTCAGCTACATTTATACAACACTTTTCTTCCCCAAAAAATGCCAAACACACCGTAAATGTAGTTAACAATTACTAACAATTCAGCTACTCCTTGATTCACCATAACTATCACATTAGAAAATGTCATCTGCTCAGCAGCCATGCTATATAAATTTTAGAAAGGAAGCTGAGAGAAAAAATGTAATTACTTGAGCAGGCATTTGGTAAAAATGGTGTTTACCAACATAACTTCTAACGTATGACAAATGCCAAGAGACTGTAATGAAGTGCTTTACATCACACCTAAGAGATGGCATTGACAGCAGCAGCGAATCCACAAGCACACCACAGGGGCAATAAAACAGAACTCACTCAGAGGGATGAATGAAGTCTATTAAGTTACCACTCTTCCTGCAGCATCCTGGATTTTTTTTGGAAGTCTCTATATTCAAGTAGTAAGCAGGCTAGGCACCCTCTTAGCTTATTAGAACATGCCTTTGAAATTGTGTTTGATAACTGCTTGCTGCAAAACCAGCAGATGGAGCTCTTAAACTACAGGGATCCTCACATTTTAGGAATAGAATGCAAGAGAATTTTGTGAACATTCTGTAAATACACTTGGAACTCTAGAGCTTAGGCTAAGTTTATCTGGATAGCCTGTCCAACTTTCATATGACCAAGCTTTCTTCAGCAGCAACAGATCACAATAATAGCCAAATAGCTTTGTGGGTCACATCAAGGGGGTCACATCAAGGGGTTAAGTATCAGAGGGGTAGCCGTGTTAGTCTGAATCTGCAAAAGCGGCGAGGAGTCCTGTGGCACCTTATAGACTAACTGAAGCGGCGGCTCCTTTGCCTGGGGGAAACTGCCAGAAACAAAAAAATCTGCACCTACTTAATACAAAACTCCTCTTAACACACCAGCACAGCGCATGGAAACTAGGGGCGGTGCTGAGAGCGGGAGGACGCAAGGGATCACACACACCTGGCATTTTATTTTGCAGTGGGGCTGGGCCGTTGAGGAGGAACACGCTACAAACTCTTTTTCGCCGCGGCTGCGGCTCCTCCCCCCTTATTTTCCTCCAGCCCCCAGAAGCAC